ATACAAACATGAAACAGCTGATTTGTTCACTGACCCACTATTTGAGAGTCCTGTTTACACCACCTATTTGAATGTGCACACTAATAGACATACGGTATTTAGTAGTCATCACAACATTTCACAGCTTTGCTCTCAGTGTTCTCTGCAGCAGACTTATTCTGAATTACAAGTCCAATACAAATATCACAGTACAAAAACACAGTATCAGGTGAGTTAGCAAATGGAATAGGGGTACAAGTGAATCATTAGCTAAGGTTCACATTGGCATCTAGAAAAAAACATATGGCTCAAACCATTGGTTATATATTATATACTCACCTGAAACGTTCACTGTACAAAAGTAGAATTAAATACAGATCTTGGGTTTTCATGATCACCTGAACACAGGTGACAGAGCACTCTTCAAAAGAGACCATTCGAAAAAGATTTTAAAGACTCTTACTGAGAGCATGAAGTGTGTATCACTGTGGAAGACACAGATGATAAATCCTAAGCCAAAGGGCATTTCTAGATGTACAAATGTCTTCCTAATAAACTGAAAGCAAAGACCTTAGCAGAAGAGTGAAAAGATAGGGGAAGATCTGTATTTAATAGTTTCTCCAGAGAACAAGAATTACAGGTGTGTAATTGACTCGTCCTCCTGAAGAAAGTAACTACAGATCTTAATGGATTTAATTCATAGGAGGAGGATGACAACCTTTTCAGAATCTTAAAAGCTGAACATACAGGGCTGTGCTCTGTCTGAAGCCAAGAAAGAAGAGAAGAACTTGGCCCAAAAGTTTATCTTCCAAAAACAGAAAACAACAAAGAAGAAAGAGCTCATAGAAATAAATAAGTAATGCATTTTAAATTAAGACCTATTTTTTTAATTACAAAAGAATGCATTTATTTAGAACAATTCAAGTTGTTAAAAAGGAGAAAGTAAATGATAAGTCATACATCATGAAAAGTTAGAAAAATTTCCAACAAAATATGGGATGCAATCACGTTTTGATTATAGGCCTTCAGGTAGAGAAAAAAAATACTGTCCTACATTTGAAGCTTATTTGTAAGGTTGAAATTTTTCACCTCGCTCTCATTTTTCTGTATTTTCTATACTCTAGAAGATCCATATTTTTGATGTACACACAGCTAATAAAAATATGTGATTAGCAGTTTAAAAAAAAAAACACAAACAAAAAAACCCCAACAAACAAAATGGTCTTATACTAGTAGAATAGTCCTGGCAGAACAAACATTTTTCTGATGTTTAACACAGAACAGATTTTCAGCAAGCATTTCTGTTGTCATTAATGTTAACAGGACCCAGGTCTCATTCACCTAATCTCCAACCAGAATATTATTTAAAAAAAAAAAAAAAATCTGCATGAAATAAACCAGTTTCCACTCCACTTACACTGGGCTACTGCAATGGTTTTTTTTTATTAAAAGCTATATGGAAAGCCATAAAATGAGGTGCTAGCTTTTTATCTAAGTTCAAAACCACTTGCCAGGAGTGACTTTCATTGCTATAGGATTTGCATTGGTTCAAGAGAAAAGTTTTAATGCAGAAAGGAATGGAAAGAAAATGCAGTACAGCACCTCTATGTATTTTTTTAGTATCTAAGGAGTAATAATCTTTTTTCAGTAGCAGTTAACATAGCACCTATATATTTTTCAGTTTTTGCTTTTATTCTTAAAACATTTCTAGACAGTTATTTCTCACCTTAAACAGATAAAGCAAAGTGAATTAAAGCAAGAATGAAGCAGAGGAGGAAAGAATCAGGCCCAGTGTTGTAAAAATCTGACATGTAGCTTGAAAAGTTTTCAAATCTCCACACTTCACGATTTTTCCATACTCAAAGGCGAGGTAACTAGAGAAACTTTTCAGTATACAATTTAAAATGATGCAATGATTTTTGGTGTTACTCAGATTACACAGTTTTGCCTGAAGGTGAACTTGCTGAACTTTCCAAAGGCTATTAGATCTGCCAAGATGGTATGGTAAGTCTTGTCTCTTCCTTCAGAACGAAGAATTTGTGAGAACTGCAATAAAGACTTGGAAAAATTTGCTGAAAACCAGCAGAGGCTGAAAAGTCCTGTCTTTTATGCAATTTGAGACCACTTTTATATCTTTCTGAAACTTGCATAACCAGAACAAGCCATTTGTGAAACTTCCTATGTCAGTGATCTGAGACTGCTATCCAGTAAGGAAACACTCTTCCATTCAGAGGAGGAGAACATGCATCCATCCAGAGAAGCCCTATAGTATATTTATAAGACAACAAAATATCTAAATGAACAGAAGCAGACAAAAAAAAAAAAGAAAATCAGAAGTAGCTAGCCAGTCGCTTCGACTTAGTTATGTGCATTTTTCATACACCTTTCTTTAAAGTAAATTCATGCATGTCTTCATAGAAATATGCCTGACATTTCAGTATGAAGAATCAACAATGGCAATCCTTTCTCTGGTGACTAGGTTTGAACCCTCTGTTTTGAGAGGGCATGAAAAAGAAAAAAATGTCTTTAGTACTGCAAAGTTTTTGTCAGTTTGGATGAGTTTTTACTGGAGCATTACAAAGGAAATCTGTCAGTTATCTGAAAAAAAAAACCCCCCTATCATAGATTCTTTATAACTGTTTTAGGAGTGAAGGCTTTTGTTGAGTGCTGTGGCTATCCGTCCAATAATGACTGAATAGAAAATAAGCAAAAATAAAGGTAATCTAGTAGACAGCACAAGCGTATGTTGATGCAAACTGGTCTTGTTAGGATTTGAATGATCAATCTAGTCATGAGAGAGTCTAGAGTTTATTCCTAATCTTACTGTCATCCTCTTATATATATAAAGTGAGGGGATGCTCTACCTTCTTCTTCCGCATCTCCAGAAGTGCATTAGACATCAGAGGATTCTTGCAAATCCTCCAGCTCCCCAAGGATGCTACAGACATCCTCATCTTCTTCCATCAACTCTTCTTTAGCTGGCTTCCTGAGAAATGTAGTACAAGTGTATGAATTCATTTGGATGGGTCATAACACACAGAGCATCCAAATGTGCTCAACTCAAGGTCCATCCAACAATGGATCTAATTTGACCTGCATATAAGTTCATCACTCTCCAGTGGACACGTTGGAACTTTTTTGAATCTGTTGGCCCATTTCCTTTTTTCATTATCATTCCACAGATGTGAAATGGATGTAAAAATCAGTCACTGAATAAACAAAATGAGAAAAACAATCACAGAGGCCTCTTGGCAGGAGAGAAGCAATATATCCTACTGAAGATATTTCTACAACTAAGAGCAGAAAGGAAACTAAGAATATGGATGTTAGCAAAGAAACATAATTAAAGTTCATTTTGTTTTAAATAGTATAAAAGAATAATAATTTATCTGTGAATTAAATGGACAAAGAACTAAAAGCTACCTCTCAGACTAGAAAAAGAACTGAAAGGATGTAATTTGCTTTTTTGTGCTTGTAGCTGTTTGCACTCACCACAACCAGAAAGACATCCTGACAGAAATGCCAACAGACAACACTCCTCCTATAGCCATCAGGAAGAAAAGAATGCACATTTAGAGGTCATCTTTTCATAAAGATCACCATTACCTGGGCACCTGTTTGTCACCTTTTTACTGTGACAATTTGAATTTTCTCTAATGATGAGTGCTCCTGACTCAATAGAGTCAAGACACACAACCTCAAAGCTGAAGATCCGTATTTAATTACTTACCACAGAACCTTCAGAATTTACCCAAACCCTTAATCTCTCTCATGGCAGTTTCCACTCTCTTTATTTTTTGCTCTGCAGATGCACTAAAGAGACCTAACTGTCCTAGTTTAAGTTAACTGCGTTCCCTCATTTTTTTCTAAAATGCATGGCTGCCTCTCTTTGTCCAGGAAAAAAATGTATCGATTTGTAGATGGGAAAAGGAGAAAGTACTGTTTATCTTAAAGACAATAATCAAAATCTTCTGAGATAAAAATGTTTTTTAAAAGGTTCTTTAAAGGAGAAAATATTTTTCTTAATTATTCACCTCTTTTTCTTGTAAGCATCATGTAAAACATTCACATCTGATATGGAGAGTACATATCTCTTTCAGAGCTGCTCTCTTCTGCAAGCTGGCACAAACAGTTGATCTTAGAAAGATCAAGTAGAGAGCACTAGAGTGCTATAAAACATGCTACTTCACTGCAATGAAAAAGGCAAAATAGTTCAAATAATTTTTTTAGCACTACAGGACAAATTTTACTAGATATCCTAATCTGTACTATATTAGCACCATGATGCAGTGCAAATATTTAGTACATAAAAAAAATGCCATGGATTTTTGTATTTAGCAAAAGTTGGGGGTTTTTTAAATAAAAAGATAGATATGTCTAAGAAATCATCCATACTAGCCAATACATACATTTCAATATTTAATGGATGCTTAGGCCCTTACTACTAAAAATAAATCCAGAACCACATTTTTCATCACCTAATAGGAAAGAAAATAAATTCCTTTTAATCATAATACATATATGGTAGTGCCAGAACAGAAAAGATTTTTTTTTTTAATCAAATGGTACTTTTTACTTTAGACTCAACAATTTAAATTATTCTGTTATTGCAGAAGTGGCAGCAACAATGTATTTTTGACAAAATAAAACAGTATGTTTTAGAAAGCCTTCATAACATTTGGTAGCCATTGGCACAGTAGCATTTTCTAAGCAGCACTATTTTATGAGCTGTCATCACTGAAATAGAATGTCCATTCACAGTTCTTAAAAAAAGTATTCCTATTTTTGCATATTATAATTTTATAACCTTTTCACTTTATCTCTTCTGCTGTACAAACACACCTTTGTTCAATTCACCTATTTTGCTTTTTCATGTGTTCCTCCTTTGAAAACAGTAAAACAATTAACAAGTACCTTTGTTCACACGCACACTCTCTAGCTTTCCTTATAACATTATCTTGCCTTGATCAAAGATGAAGCATTTTTTTTCTAGACAATGTGGGCATTTACTTTTAGCATACCTGGGTTTGGATTCTGTTGAGCCCTCTGAACCAGAGAATTTGTCCACGTCGAAGTTCTCTCTCTGCATGATCAATTTCTTCAACATCTTCATTGAGTTCTTCTTCAGGGACCTCCTCCTTCTCAGTGAGCCTCCCTGCCTCCTTTAAAAACTTTAGCCTACTTGTTGGGATGGTTGCAATGACCTAAAATTATAAAAAAGTACTGAAAACATAAGCCTCATTCAATAACAGTAGTATAATAATCTGCTAATTACAAAAGAACACTGATATTTTAATGAGATGTATAATCTTTCAGGAAAGCTCAGATAAGCATATTCATAATAGTACTTTACACTTATACAACTCCATTTTAGTCCAAAAATACTTCGTTTACTGTGTAAACAATTAGCATTATTTGAATCATTAAACCACATTAGCAAAACACAGCTATGGAGCAAGTTTAAGGCTGGGAAAAATGTTATCCTTTCGCAAAAAACTAAAAGTTGATGTAAGTATTCAATTGTAATTATTTAAAGAAAACTTATCAAGACTGATATTTCTGCAATTTGTTTGGATATTGATAATGACTTATAATAATCTAATGTATGTTAATGTTAGCTAAAATTAGTTGCACCTCATGCATATAAATCTTCTCACACTACATTGGTTCAGGTATTCAGATTCCTTTTGTTTTAGCAAGTTGAAATGCTTTTCTCAGCGTTTATCAAAAATGAGGTCTCTGAAAGGTGTGGTTTTGACTCACTGTTGGACTTCTTATAGGGTTCTCTCTTACTCTGTGTTCTTATTACTAATAAACTCTGATTAACTCAGCCCCTCTTCTTATACTGTTTGTCCACCAAAGTGGTCCTTGGAAGTAATTAATACAGGACATGGCTAATAATCTTAAAAAATTCACAAATACTATAGTTAGACAATGTTATAACACAATTGTTTTAAATAAATCTCAGTGTTACCCTCTTGGGCAGTCATTTTCTCTTTGTTCTGATTTCTTTTGTCAGCTTGAAATATGAGCATATGGCTATTTAAACAGGATTACCTGGAACATATTGAATGCTTAAGAAAAAAACAACTCCTGCAAAGTTAACTATTAGACCCATTTAGTAAAAAAGTGCTGCAATTTTCTTTTTTGTTTGTCTTTGTTTCAGCAGTGAGCAATCACATCTCTGAAGCCCAAATGTGTGAAAGATGGAGACAGAATTGGACAGTTGCAGGAAAGTTGGTGAGGATGTATCTTACAGTTTTGGAAAACTGGAATGGATATAGTGAAGACACATGAAAAGGCACCAAATATTTTCAGAATGAAAATAAACTGTTGAGTTTGCTGAGGGTCTCCTTGAACTTCATGATCCACAACTCCACTTATATTATTTTTAAAGATAAAGAAATGTCAAAATAAACCCAGTTTGTATGCTACTACCAAACCTTTTTAAAATGCATTTTGGGTTTTGAAAAACAAGATGTAAACTTGGAAAATTAATGAAATAGTGTGACACGAGCAAAGACAGAACAGGATAGAAAAAGAAAAGGTAAGTGCTAGTCATTTAAGTACTTACTGAAATTCCTTCAGCTTCCCAGCTTTCAAAACACTATAATGCCAATACTTTACCAAAAGAAGCTACTTGAGACTGTTTGGTACCTGATGAAACTGATGGTGATAAAGTACTTACAAGACAGTACACATAGAAACAACTGTATTTGGTACTGATTCTGTGCAATAGAACATACCTCTCCTTCACGACCTCTCTTAGCCAGGCTGATAGATTCTGCTCTAGTTCTTTTCTTAGGGTCTTACATGTCTTTTTGTTTGTTCACTTGTCTTCCATATCTGCAGATACCTGCCCAGCTCAGGTAACAGCAGACTCAATAGACTGGAGGTAGATTAAGGAACTAAATATTATGCCCAGGAAAATTATCACAGTTTTTAAAAGTGATCAATAATTCTGGGAATGTAACATGAAATATTTTAGAAAGACTTGGTTTTCAGAAGTGATGAGGGCCACCTTTCAGAAAACTGTCCTTCAAAGCATCACAGATTGGCTTCCTAGAAATTACATCTTAAATCACTTCTGTAAGTGCCAATGTTAACATCCAAACTTGGAAATCTTGATTGGTTTTAGTGGTTCACAAGAACAGCAGGTTCAGGAGACTGATAAAACAAAGGGATAACAAATTTGTTTTGTGCTGAACTAGAATTAGTCACAGCAAGAGAGAAAAGGCTGAGAAGGAAGAGAAGAACCTCTTCTAAAGGAAATGAAGTCTCTCTTACTGTAGAGCTCCATGAAGAGAGGACTTGCTAGAGCCTGTAAATCATGTAAATAACGCAGTTTTTTAGCTTGTGTTTTTCTTTTTTGGTCACTAAATACTGGCCACAAAAGAAAGACACCCCCCCCCATTTCCTTTATGTAAAATTGTAGTCTTTTCAGTGATTAAATTGTTGAGGTATTCCAATACCAGTTTTAATTTAATGGCTAGGCTCTTGCATTAAGGCTTGGGCAACTATGTCCATCTTCAAATAGAAAACAGATGTTGGTATTATTCTTAGTTTTCAATGGATATGTAATAACCACTCATAACAAAATTTAGAAGCCAAGTAGCACATTGATCAAAGGCTGTGGGAAAGTCTTCACAGCTGAATAATATAATAAAACAGCTAGGATTTTTCTCCCTTTCTCTGCTTTTATTCTCCCCTCTCAAAGTTGGTATTTTCCAATCAGTTGAAAACAAATCTTTTCTTTCCAAGAATTACCAAACTGATTCTAGGTCTTCCTCCTGCAAGATCATAAATCAAATCCCATCCTCAGGTAATAATTACAGTAAAACAATCTAATAGTGGTGGTTTTCAGCAACATATGCATTAAAAGCTGTTATGACTCTGAGCTTATTTCTTCAAAAAAATCTGAGGCCCCACTGTCCAAAAAGTTTTTTTTTTCCATAAAAGAACAAATAATCAGTTTTGAAAGCTAGCATCTATTCATTATAATACCTTCAGAACCATTCCAGTATTCAATTGCAGTTGGCAATTTCTTGCCTGTTTCTTCAAAGTGGCAAACTAGTCGATCTATATGTATCTCTACATCTGAGAGGCAAAACGTAACTTCATATTTTTCACATATTTTTTACTGTGTCAGGTGGCATCAACATAAATACATTAATAATGCATTCAAAAATGTAAAAAAATAACATTTGCAATATGTTTATATATAAAAGAATATTGTAGTATTTTAACAATACTGATTGTATCTGTATTATTATTTCCAGACAGATAATCACATAACTTACTTATCTCATTGACACTTGTTTTTACATCTATATATAATTTTATATTAGCTAACGATGACACAGGTTGTAGCAGAATTTTAAAATTACATATGAATTAAACTGCGCTTTTCTACAACTATTATAGGAAAAAATCATTTTTCTTTCATTCCCTCTTCCATCCTTTGCACACAGAATTAGGTGGATGGAGGATCACTGCTGGTGTATATTAAATGCACTTAGTCCTATGTCAGTAACAAGGCTACTATGGATTGACAGAATGGCAGTTTCAGCAAGGGAATGAGTGGGTTGACATAGAACTGGAACTTCTTTTCACTTTCAAAAATTTGCCATGGCTGAACATAGACAGGATACATTGGGTACTCTATTGCAGGAAAGGTTACAGTGCATTTGCCCTTACTATACTTCTTTTGTGACTAGAGGGCTAGGTTATGAATCAAACGTCTTTCATGAAAAAGCCTAACTAAAGACGACCTTGGTGATAGCACACCCTGCTTAGGAAAAGAAAAGATATGAAAATTAACAAAAATCAAAAGGAACACTGGGCTAAATTATCCTTACTACTATATCTATTCTTGAAGTACTTAGAGAGCACCCTGTATTTCACAGTGTGTGCTAAATACAACATTGTGAGAGATCAAAGAAACAACAGTACAGTAGGATTAGGAGCAATATCAGATCTTTGATTGGTTTATAAAAACAAAAGAAAGAAATCTGCATATTCCTGAATGCTTACCTGACCCCATACAAGTTCTCCTAATCCAATAAATACACACCACATCCACTGGTCAAGCTGCAGGGGAGAACAGCTGAATGGTTTTCCTCCAAACTGGACAATTACTATCTACAAAGAAAAGCAGAGAAGAAAGGGGGTAAATATTTTCTGGGGAAAAAAACAAAACAAAACACTCCACCCCCAAAACCCCCAAATGCCAGCAAAAAAACCCCAGCAACTTTCAGTCATGTTTCAATCGAGATTTTACTTGATCTTTCTACTTATTACAGCTCTGCTGGTTTGATTCCAACATATTTTACCAGTAGAATAGTCAAACATATTATTATCAATCTATTGTTTAGTGGACTGAATCTAAAGAGTACCTAAAATCAAAATACTATCTTATATTCCAAATATGTCATTTGACACTCTTAGGTGGCACTAAATCAAGTTACCAGAAAGACATTTTTGGAACCCATCCAGCAGAAGCTGCAGAATCCCAGGCACTAAAAAAAAATCAAACCATGCAAATTTATGCACACTGAATTAAAGATCAGAAAAAGCCATACCAGTTCAGACTAAGGCTTCCTTAGCCTCATAGCTAACAACAGTCATATGTGAATGCCCAGGAAGAAAGAAAACAGGACTGTCCCTGTGTGTTCTCCCAGGTTCTGAATATTCTCAGCTGGGGATATGTTGACTCTGACGTAGTTTATTTTGGAATGTCCATTGCATGAGAGATTTTTCCCTCTAATTAACATTTATTGTACACTTATAGCGTGTTATCATGGATAGACTGATAGTATACCAAAATCTAGTCCTGTTGGAGAAAGAGGGTGGGAAAACCACACACCTTGCAGCAGGATAACCAACACACACTGAATCTGAACAAGTTTCAAAGCCTGATTAGACTGAGAAGGTTTTGCTAACTGAAAATCAGTTATTATTGATATTTTGCAGTAGTGCTGCTGCAAAACCAGCAACCTGAAAGCACAAGCCAGAGATTTAAACTGTCAAAGGCTGCAAACCAGAAATTCAAAGTAATTTGTCCAGTCTAAGATACAAAATAACACAAATACATAAAGTGGTTGCTTTCTTGTGTGAGTGAATAAACACAAACTATGAACACAAACTATTCCATGTGAAGTCCAAATACACAGAAAGAAGGAAGGGGACAGAGAATGGAAGGCAGTGGATAGGAAACGGGAAAATGATTGGAGAGAGTAAGGAAAAAGGAGGAGACAAAACAAAAATTGTGAATATGATGCTAAAATTCTAAGAAAGAAATTACAACTCCATATTGAGAAATTTCTAAATACTTTATAGTAGGTATGGCATATTTTAATCCATCTTCCTTCACAGTGAAAATTATTTATTTATTCTGAAAGCAGAGAAAGGAATTAAAAAAAATGAAAGAAAGCTATTGCTTGTCTGAGGGCAGCAGTGGTAACTACCCTTTTATTTCTCAGGCTGTTGCAGCTCTCACAGAAACACTTTCTGATCCTTACTGAGGATGCATTGTAATAGTCTCCATATTTTTCACTTGGAAAATTTGGCCACTGCTGCTGCCTTTTTTTCTTTTTGGAGGGGTTTAGGAGGAGGACTAAATTAAAGTAACTAACAGTTAATGGAACTATTGCACTCAAAGATGAAATATCAAAGCCAATTAGTCTGTACTTCACAGAAAGTGGAGTAGATACATATAGAACTAAGAAACCTTTAAATATGAAATAAAAACACTTCTGTAATCTCCCATTATCCATCTACATAATCCAAGCTCCTGGAGACAATCTCTTTAGCATGAAATGCTTGGCTCACACATCCAGCTGTTAAAACACACGCCAAAATAATAACTACTTTTCTGACATTGCTTCAGCAAGCAACATTATGCAAAGCTGTATTTCCACAATGTAATAAACAAAGTGGAAAATTAATAGAAAGATTAACCTTCTATTGTCCCTAGAAAAAATATCTGATTTTAAAAAGATACTTAAAAGCAAGTAAGAGTCACAGCCTAAGTACTCTTATGCTACAATGTCCTTTTTGATTTACTGTGAGTGCAAACCTAGTGCTTTGAACTGTGCACTTAAGTATTTCAGCTACTAAGAAAGCAGGGAAGAGGGAGTAAAACCAGCAGCTGATTCAGAAATGTGGCTAGCAGCTAGATGACACTTTTCCTTCAGCCAGACAACTGAGTACAGTAATGCCTAGAACTAAGAAAACATCCTCAAACACTATCCATGATTAAAAAAAAATAAATTAGAGATGATTGTAAATTTGTCAGGCCTCTCCTAAAGGCATTTTAGTTCATGGTAGTAAACCCATGGTTTTGAACTAGCTGTTAAAAGACCATCGCTATCAAGTTCTACTACCAATCACTGGTGCCCTTTCTCCCATACTCAGTTTGAGTGTTTCCCCTTCCTGTTTCAAACCACTATAGCCCAGATTCAGATAGATCTATCCTCCTTCTTACTCCTTCCATGAGAAAGGTCCCAATACAGATAGCTTCCAGGATGCCATTCCAGAATTGAGCAATAATGTCAAGATAGAAATAGCTCAACTCTAAGCAATTGTGAGGGCTGCAGTAGACTTCAAAAAGGTAATGTCAAGCAGTATCAAGTACAGGATAGATGACAGCAAATGGATGCATACAGGAGCAGAAGAAGGACTTAGAGTTCATACAGCAGAAGAACTACAACTGTTTGGGAAAAGTGTGTAATTCTGTAATTATGTTCACATATGACTGGGACAGCAAACTCACAAATGAGATGGACGTGAAGAATTACTACCAAGAAGTAGTATTACCGAGAACATCAAGTAGCATTTGGCAGTGGCATTTAACCTCAGAAGAACAGAGCAGTGTTAGCTATTTGAAGGCTAATTTGTTTATTCATGGAGTAGTAAATTAATGTAAAATGCTTTATTGCTATTGTTTGGTATACTATTTAATAATTTATTCTAAAAGAATCAGTTACAATATCAACAAATCATGATGGCAGTTATGATTGTACATCTTCAGAATAATTTAAGATTTAACCTAGTTATAATAATCAAAATTTATGCTGTATTAGTATGGCTAAATAACATTTTCCATTACTGACAATTGTATTGATTGAGAAAATATGTGAAACCAGGTAGTTTACTATTAAGTGTGCTTCCTACAACATTTAGATTAAAAAAAACCCAAACACACACACACACAGAGAAAAAAACATAAGGTAAATTTCTGATGAATAGTTACTAATTCTTGCCCAAATCATTACCTGAATAGCAAATGTACCCAGTACAATAGTGCAAAAAATAGGATTTCTGAAGATGCCATCAAAGACATTTCTTTCACCATGGATTTTCCGTGCGTTGATTTCATTGAAAAGCTGCATCATGACAAAGGTGTTGAAGATAATGGTGTAATGCTCTGAAGGAGGAGAGTGAAGTGGTGCATTCCTCCCACTGTCAATCTTAAACATTTTCTCACCTGGGTATAAGACAAAAACAAAGGTTTCCACTAGAATAAATTAATCAAACTTAATTTTACATTTCCCTTGTTTGCTTTAGCTAGTTGCCTCCTGTGCTCAGTTTTACCAGCTTTCTTTCTGCACTTAGTGTAATACAGGCAGAATTTATAACACCAGTGAGCAAAAGACATCTAAACTTCCTGAGCAAGAAGCTTCTCAAATGATGACTTTTATCTAATAACTTAGTATACCTACACAAATAGTTTTCAGTAGTACTTTTTCTCTAACCAAGTGGTAATTATTCTAAGTCAATTCTTTCTGACGTATTGAGCACTTGAGACCATTGACAGTATGTTTGCGATTTTCTACAATAATTAGAAGCAACTACTCTTCAGCAGTTTTTACCAATTTGCTAATCCAGTGTGGCATAACTCTTGACAAGCATTCAAGAACATTAATTATAAAGAACACAGACTTTCCTGGTTTTAAATAGATTTGGCTTTGATCATTCTGCTAGTTTGCTTTGAGAGCACACCATCAGGCATTGCTCTTTATTTTGATAATTTTACTATCGCTTTCAGATCTGACCAATAAAAAAAGCAAGATACAACCCATAATGAGTAACTGTAGAAATGAGATAAGTTTTGAAAAGATACCTGCACCTAAGGAACCTCTTTTCTGATAGAATCATAGAATGGTTTGGGTTGGAAGGGACCTTTAAAGATCATCTAGTCCAATCCTCCTGCCACAGGCAAGGACATCTTTCAGTAGACCATGTTGCCCAAAGTCCCATCTAACCTGACCTTGAACACTTCCAATGATGGAGCATCCCCAGTTTCTTTGGGCAACCTGTTCCTGTGTCTCACCACTCTCATTGTAAAAAAAATTTATTTCTTATGGCCAGTCAAACCTAGCCTCTTTCAGTCTAAAACTGTTGCCCCTTCTCCTGTCACTACAGGCCTTGGTAAAAAGGCTCTCCCTGTCTCTCTCATAAGCCCTCTTTATACATTGAAAGGCTGCAATAAGGCCTCTCCAGAGGCTTCTCTTCCCCAGGCTGAACAACCCCAACTGTCTCAGCCTTTCCTCACAGGAGAGCTGTTCGAGCTCTCTGATCAGTTTTGTGGCTTTTCTTCTGGACCTGCTCTAACAGGTCCATGTCTGTCTTGTACTGGGGACACCAGAACTGGATGCGGTACTCCAGGGTCACAAGAGTGGAGTAGAGGGGGAGAATCACCTCCCTCAACCTGCTGGCCACAATTCTTTTTATGCAGCCCAGGATACAATTGGCTTTCTGGGCTGCAAGTGCATGGGCTGCCAACTCATGTCCGATTTTTCATCCATTTTCTTATAAGCAAAGTTTACAGATAACATACAGTTACTGAAAGAGGGCATTGTCTTAAAAGTAAGGATGGGGCATTCACATGAAAGCGTAAATAATGAATTAAATAAGACTAAAGAAGATTATCACAATACTACTCATTTTCATAACCAGTGTTTTGTTCATAAAACCAAATTAAAACTTGAACATTTTTCTGCTATTCCACTAGCATTATATTCAGAATTTCTGAAGAAAGAAGAAGAAAGGTTTCCTCAGGTTTTCTCCTGAGGTCGTTAATTCCATCAGCTAAGTTAACAGTGAGCGCTTTTTTTGCCTTGGGATATTTGAGCAGTTCATGTTCAAGTCACTGGTTATAATGAGCATGTTTCCAAAGAAAGAATTTGTCTTATAGTTTTATTGACAGAAAGTAGATTATGATATCACAAATATATCAGTAACACAATATGAGGCCACAAAACTTTGACTGTGAGAAAGCAGAGATTTTTTAGAAGATTGTACATCTCCAAAGAGATAAGCATTGGAAAACATTGCCCTTACTATATATAAACAATAAAGGAAAAAATTAATGAAAGCAAACAGATACCGTCATTTTTCTTTTATAGATACACACACACACATATTTATATACACACATTACATCAATTTGCTTTCATTCATACACTCACAAACACAAATATATGAATAATACTTTCCTCAGTGAGAGTACCTCTTCTTAAGTCTCTATTATTGCATCGCATCACTTAATTGGCAAACCAGAATATGCCACCATTGTGGAATGGCAGTGGTTAAACCCATACCTAGTTTTTATTTCCAAACATCTTCCAAAAGGCATTATAGTACATCAGCTTTAGTGTTTATTATGCCTAATTGCTGAGATTAAGATTTTTTTTTTATACTATAGTTTGACAGAACTAGATGGTGATTTCTGATGCACCTGATGTATCAAAGGCATTACTGTATGTTCAAACACAATCTATTTATTGCCACATCATAGAAAAAATAGAAGAACTTGATGTACTAGTCTCTACAGAAACCTACTACAAAAAAAATGAAGTATTAGTTGATCAAAATATAAATAATTCTCATTCATTTGGAATGTATCGAAAGACTGAGTTTAGAACATCATCTCACTGTAAAGCTGAGCCTCGTGGAGTTTAAAAAGGAAAAGACTGCATCTCCTAGGCTTATCAGAAAATTGGTTGGGCTGTGTCCTTCAAAGTATGCATGGGTTGTCTAGAGACACACAGAAGTAATTAGAATAGGGTGAAAAAGCCTAGTTTTCTTTTCATTTGGGCTCAGTATAAAGTATTTTAAACCATAGAACTCATCAAAAAGCCATTAAAACTCCCCATAAAGTTCACAGAAGTTCTCGTTCCAAGACTCATATCACATGAATTACCAAGTCCTTCTACACCCATTTCAAAGAATCTGAAATTACCATTCCCTTAGACTCACTAGACATTCTTAAAATACACTGCAAGCCTAACAATATTATAGACCGTCTCTCTTCAAAACCTGGCAATTATTTTGGTTTAAATAGCTCCACTGTAAACAGACCATCACGTCCTTTGTGCATTGCAAATAAGCAATTGTTTGTTAATACAATAAGCCAGTTATTGGTAAGGTGGAGCAAGACTCACAATGGAGCTCAAAAAATTCCTAAGAAACATAAATTTACATTTACAGCTTATATGGAAGTCTGTATATAAAGAAAAAAATCTGAAAGACAACACATGTAATTTAACAATGATGACATAGTGACAAGAACACAATACCCAATCAATAAAATTCCTTTCAGCGAGTTCACTTATTATTGTGGAGCAACAGAATCTATTATTAGCCCCTACTATTCCCTGCAGCAAGAAACATTCCTCCTCCTTCCCTCCCCTCTCCAAAATACAACCTATAAAAAGCATCTATTACTAGCAAGGCCTGAAGAAGAGTCCAGTAATCTAATAAATTGGATTTTTCCCCTTCTAATATCCATTCTAGATATTAAATGTCAAAACGGAGTGTTATTTGTATCACTTAATATTTGCTTATCTATACTACTTAAGATCAGCATTATTTCTTGACTATGACAAACATTTTGCTCCCAGTTAGAGCTTCTCCAGATATTGGTAAAACAGATCTTGATTTTTGTTTTGTCTTTTTAAATTCGTTGTTATGTGACTACTAAAGACAAGTCTCAATGAAATTTCAGTATAGAAGAAGCAGGCTAGATACTCCGATTAAAATGTAACCTTCTATCCTATGTTTTAACATAAACTTTTGCCAAAGCCCAAACCCACATTTTGTTAGAAGGCAAAAAAGCTCACTGTGGCCCTTCCCAATGTAAACAATATGTGAAAGGTGACTAAATCCCTCTATTGCATCTGTTGTGTTTCCCCTACTGTTTCCGATCCCATTAAACAGCTCGGTCCTGCTAGCTGTTTAACTATGACAGACTTAATATATGTGCATTAAGTGGCTACATTTAAAGCATTTTGACATGTCAGGCTACAAGACCTAGATGCTTCTAAACTAAGCAACAAGCCTAACAAACTTTCTTACCGACAAAAAGAAGTGTAAATATGAGAGTAAGCTGATAAACAGCGTGGCCCAGAATGTTCTTCATCATGGTACGGGATATAAGAGGTTTGTTCCTGCCATATGGCTTTCTTAGCAATAGAGCCTCTGTTGGAGGTTCGGTGGCCAAAGCAAGTGAGGCAAAGGTGTCCATAATTAGATTGACCCACAACATCTGTACAGCTTTTAGAGGAGAGTCCTGTGGAGACAAACCAGAAAGTTACATATTTCCTAGAAAAATAATTGCCATTTACTATGACTTCGTTTTGTCCTGTGTGACTGCAAGTAGTGCTGAAGACAGGATACTGAAATACATGGACCTTTGGTCTGACCTACTGTGACCTTTCTTATATTTCTTATGCAAGACCAGAATCACAGGAAGCACAGTGATCTGAGCAAAGATAAATTATTTCTCTCCAGTCATTTAAATCAGGAATATTTACAATCACACAATTCTCAAAAAGCACAACATTATCACTTTATAATACATTTTACAATACACTCTATTACTTCATGCATCATGCTTAAATTTTCAGCTGAATTTAGGTAACTAGACAATATAAGAGGGAGTTTCTTTTCTGGAAGATAAATTATACTGAAACGATTTAAAAAGTAATACTTCTTTTTACTATAACCTACTTTTCTTTCAGAAACAGCTTGATATTATTAAAAATTTATGAAACAATTACTGAGACATTTTAAAACATCTTACTTAAATAAGACCTTTTAAAAACAATAGTCATGAAAAAAATGCCTGATACTTGAATTTAAAAAATATTCTGAAACTCATTAAACTATATCAAATGTGCAAAAGTGAGAAAATCTTTATTATTTTACTGGGTAACAGGATAGCATATTTGAAACTATGGAACTGGGAAGACAAAAAAAACCCAACACAACATTACTACTTGTCAGGATGAGTATTTATTTTCTGAAGCAGATCGCCCACCGCTAGAAGGAGCTCTTTCCTCACTTAATTCAAGAAAGAGTCTATGGTCATATTACAGAGGACTTTACACCATGTTTAAAATAAAAAAAAAAAAACCAAAACGCCAAAACCCCAACAAAACAACCAACCAACCAAAAGTAAATAAATAAAGCAAACTAACACAAATCTCAGGAGAACTCTAGGTGACTGTCATAAAGTTTTGATTTGTAATTCATTGGGGCAGCTGTAATGATGGATGCAATTGCTTCAAGCAGCCATATCAGGAAAAATGAAGTACGTTCTTTTTTCGTATCTACACAATCTCCTATACCTTTAGACTGAATACAAAAGGGACAGCATTAGTAAGGTCTGCTTCCTGCTTCAAACAGACATTTTTATTAGGAAAATATCTCAAAAGTAATAAGGTAATAAGGTATCAGTATGACAAATTTTATAATGGAAGGGAGTTAATCTACAGTGTGAAAGTTGGAAGATCAGAGCTCTGTTTTTAAGCATTACATTGCCACGGTGCTGCAGTAGTGAAGCAAAGGAATTTATGGAACAGCATACAAGCCAAATCAAAGCAAATAAAAACACCTTATGAACTCTGTCCTTTTCTTCAAAGGGTTAAATGTTCATTTTTAATGAAATATTATCAAATAATGAGGGCCAATATCCATGCAGTATCCCAGGGACATATGGAGAACAGGGGTAAGTGATTTGGTCTCTTGTGGATCTGGTTTATATTCCAACCCTCCCTTGAGATAAAATATTTCCTCCTGAAAACATATTTTTAACACTCCTACACTTACACAAACTTTGATACATTTTATTTACAAAAGAATAGTCATTTTTGGCTTATTCAAAGGGATGGAGAAAAGCAACCTACTGTTTCTAAGTCTTACAGGTTGGCTATACCAGGGAAGTGAGGAAGATTAGCATTAATAGATTCTTGACCTCTTGGTTATGGGTTGCATTAACTGGGCTTATCTGGAGAGTTTAGCTCATTCATTTGATATGCAGCTGCAGAAACAGGAAATGTCATTGTCTTTAGAGGTGGCTAAAAAACTAAAAGCAATCGGGACAAACTTCGTTCCAAATTGAGACCTCAGGTATTTTTATTAATACTAATGGTCAAACAAGGAGAGTACTTGCACTAAAAGCAGTTTGTCACTAGGGCTCAGAGACCCTAGAGTTGGACACAGTATATAGAGAAAAAGGAAAACATGTTTGCTACTGAAGAATCCTCCTTATCATATTTTTACCTCTCTAGTTAATAAGTTTTCTTGAGAAACATGCTCTGCTTTGAGATGTTACAATAGCTGAATTTCCGCTTCATGTGCTTCTATGTCAATAAAACTGAATTTGTCTGTTACGCTTAATAGAGTCAAATATTCAGAGCCTGACATATTCCTAGCACAACAAAAAGTCAGATTATTTCAGTCTCTAAATCACACAACTGTAATTGGCAGTCATCAGTTTTGGCAACAACATGTTCTCACCATTTCACACTGCCAATCACCTTGGGTGGCTATGGTGCCCCTAATAATTATCTATTATTGGCAGTGCTGCACTGTTCAGTCAAGTGTGAAAGCTCATTCTAAGCTGAAGCCAAAACATTAAATACACATTAGTCTGGGCAGGCAATGGAATGAAATTTCCACTGCAACTCTATCTGATTCCTGACTAGTTGGTGGAAACTGAGGAAAATACCTATCAGCTAAGGAGCTTAGTCTTCTATTACAGATTTTAGTCACTTATGCAAGTGGGATGCAAATTCAATGTTCTTTTCATTGCATTTTAGCCACTAACTGACCAGCTAATAATTCTTAATTCACTTCCTGAAAACTTTGGGGATGAGAGCTGTTCAAACTGCAAACCACCCAAAATCACCACTTATTTGTCAAATTCCTTTCCACTTGACCTTGGAATAGGTTAGCATTGGCCTAGAGGTAAAAGGAAAATGTCCCTTAAATCAAGTGATGTTACACTTCATCTTGGAAACACTTAAAAGTACAAATCGCCAAAGGCTGGAAATAAACTACAAATCTTTTGTGACATGCAGAGCCTCACAAATTTTAGAGCTTGTTACTTTTGATTTAGATGACAAGCTGTATGGGAATAAAAAGGTATTTTCACCCTTACCTCTTTACTCCCACTTGTCACAGAACACATGCATGGATTCATAAAAATGAGCATTTCTGATAGGTCAACTTTATATACATCAATGCAAAAAAATATCAGCCCTCGTTTCTGCTGGTAGATCACACTGTCCACTAGTTGTATGGAAGTGGCATCATCAGTTCTACTTCCATGCCTCTAAACCTTCCCAGAACAAAGCTAAACAGCACACACTTTGATTTTATATTATAGCTTTTTCAAATTTGCCAATGCTATTATTTTAGGATTTGCAAAACACAGTTCTGCAGTAAAACATTATAACCATGTAAATTACTGACTTATACATGTAAGTATAGATCATCCTCATTTTTTGAACAACGTCTGTAAAAACAATAAGTGATTCATGCAGTGGTTCATTGCTACAGTGCTTTTTAATTAACATTTAATTTTCTAAACATAATGTCCTATAGAGTCACTGTTTTCAGTTCCTAATGTCTGCTAAAACATTAAGTCTTTCTCAAAGTACAAGAATAATAATTTGAATGTAAAATGTTAAAACACAGTCTTTGTTCTTCTCTTTCTTTAAATGCAACCTTTTTGAACAGTTACATTGCCTCAACAATTGGAGACACAGACAAAATTTGGCACAGAGATAAACCTGCCTTCTTTATAGTTCCAGTAAAAAACTTTCTATTTGACTGAACTGCAATTTAAAATCTTTATTTTGTACATACCCAGATTATTTTTAACAGCTCCAAACATAATGACCTAATATTTTCTGGGTACTGTGTACATGTTGGGGACAGGAAACAGGATGAACCTTCTGACTTTGTAAGGCACATATAGAACTCTGTATGATACCTAGCGATGTGGAGCAATGACTCATTTGAAGTACAAAATTCACAATAATTGTAGGCAGTTCTTCCAAAGAAGAACCCTCACTGAGTCAATCAAGGGCTCTGCAAAAATGTTATTCAGAGAACGAAGTCACAATATTAGTGTTTATATCTCACTGGAAAAAGAAATTATTGGTTTAACCTGAGGTAATGGGTGCTAAACAGTAAGGACAATTATACGCAAACTGGTTGAGATAACCACACCCTAATCATTTTAAAAGTATGCATTGGGCAACACAGAGAGAAAGAAGTAAGAGGTAGATGAATTAGATTAATTGAAAGATAAGATGAATTAACACAGTTCAGCTGCATTGTGCCCCACAAACTGCACTGACATGGGACTAGCAGAAATAATAGTTGCGAACTCATTGGTGGGTGATATGTACACACTGAAGACAAAATTAAGAGCACCTATGCAGCCGCAGATTGAGGGATCCTGATTCAGCTTTTAATCAGAGACTTCTTTAAGCTTCATGTTCTTGTATCACCTAGATCTCAGAGTGCTTTACATAACTGCAGAATCACAACACAAAAGTTCATTATTAGTTGAAATCAGAACTCTTGGCTTATACATTGAGCTGCTGTAAACTGAAACAGGGCCCACTGTAAGTTGGATCCCTGTGAGGGGCAGCTCAGGTTTGGCAGCAGCTGCACTAAGCTTGCCAACAGGTGACACTGTCTCTGTAATTCTTATACTGCTTAGAATATGATTTCTGTCACCTTAACATGACTTAGTGCTGGGACCCATGACAGAGAATAGCAAATGACCATTTGCATTGGTCCCGTTTAGTCTGCATAATAACTTCTTTAATAGCCCACTGCTACTCTTTATAATCCTGATCTAACATTGGAGTAGCATGTAGGGTCACATACACTTTGTACGTGTAGTTGAACAACTATTGAAACAGCAAACCAGCACAAAATAGAAATAGTTAATATGGTAGATATCCTAACAGCAGCATCTTGCTGAAGCAGGCATTGGGTAGACAAATAATAATATAATATTTGCTTAAAATAAACAGAATTGAGTTAAACAGTAGTTCCCTGAAGTGGAATTGGCAAGGACACTGATTTTATTTATGTATTTGAGAAAAAAAGCAGCAGATTCTTACAATGACCAATGGTCACAAGTTCTACCTAATACTTTTCTTAAGCCTCTCTCCATGGCACTCCTAAGGTGCTCTGGACCAAACAAATCAGCTCCTACTTGGCAATGCATTCTCTGGGTGCTCCTTGGAGGTCTAGTTTCACTCA